CTAATCCAAGTTTACAAAGCAGAAGGATTCCTAACATCAAATACTACAGTATGATAAAGCTGTTTGTGGTTTGGTCTTGCATGCTGTCAGGCTACTTAAAACTATTAGTAGCATTAAGAAGTCAGTAAAACAAATGATGCGCAGTGTTATGTAGCTGCATACCTCGTTGCAACTGCAGCCTTCTGGAAAAAGCTATTGTTACAGTCAAAATAGCAGATCATTTGTAAACCACAAGATAATAATCCCAGACAGTCTGTGTCAGAGAGATGAAATGAATACACTGGCTTCCTCTTAGTCTTCGTACATCCTGGCAAATGTGAGCCCTAGGGTGCTGTCACAATAGGACTAAACAAGCCACTTGGGACATTAGCCTGGGAGAGCCACGTGTTGGAACGTGTATGTGCATCTTGAGAGCAGGACGCATTCCAGATTGCATGGTGATGCCACAAAAATCTGGGGTCTGCAAGATGTTTGATAGGAGAGAGACAAGAAAGAAAACATTTTCCACAGAAGCCCTCACCTCTGTGAGGCCTGAGTGGGACAGCCTACACACATTTCAAACACTGGGAGGACTGTTCTTCATGACACTGGGAGTTCTTTTACAATATTGTATTGAGAGTACAATGTATGTTCTCCTGCCATTTTGCTTAGAAAATTTTCAACTTCGGCACTTCTGAGTGATAATGTCAAACAAGAAACTGGCAGCAATAATGCATGTTGTTAACCCCTCCAAAGGATATACCCTGGGACACTGAGATGAATGAGTTAGAGGCTTCACAAAGACTAAACCAATTTTTACCATGTTTGCAGTTTTCTAAAAATAAATAAAAGCTGTGCTATCAAAGTAATTTGAAAGACACTATAATAAGATAAAGAAAATCTACACATATTGGTTTTAAGATTCAATTTGGTATTGATTTTGAAACTGACAGCTAGTTCTGTTGGGCAGACAGTGTACGGCTTGAGGTTAATTTTAGCCCAGAACTGTTTGATCCTGAGTTTTTCCCAGATTGGTTGTCATCTGATGCACAGTTTGAGGGGCGTCATGACACCTGATTAGCTACCTGACCGAACAGCGATCTGGCTTTCAGATGATCAGCTGGATTTCTGGTATGTCAAAAATTTTGGTCAGCTGTCTTGCAGTCGGAGCGGTTACACAGTCCAATTTTCCACATGGGTGCTATCAAAAAAACATTATGAACTGCAGTGAATTTATTTTTAAATGTTGTGGCTAAAACTGTAGTCTTCGCTGAGAATGCTGTCATATAAAACTTATCTTCACTGAATAACAGACACCATATTGTCTGCGTCTTCCAGTCTGCTGCCCCATTTTTCTTTTTTCCTTCTTACTTTCCATTCAAAGAAGAACTGTACAAAGTAATCCTGCCTTTCTCTCTTTTGTCAACATTGTTGAGGACACAACTGTCTTAAACTTTACTGGAACAGAACCATCAATGAACAAAACCGACTGGTTTACGTTCAGTGTGAGCAGCCACATTATTGCCGATCAATAGTGTGCGCAGGTTCTGAGCATGCAGAAAGGCCAGTTCAAACGTGCAGTGTGCCTTAACACGACATACAAGACTAATATCATGTCAAGCTTTAGACTTCTGGAATTCTGTTTCCCAAAATAGAAGGTTCAGATGATATAAACCCATAAATGTACAACATAACTAAGATTATCTTAGTTTTAAAATGCCATTGGTAAACAGGACCCAGGTCCTTTTGTTATATTGTACAGTCCAAATTATTAAGCAAAAATTATTCTTTAGATATTTTATTTAGAATATTTCCTCGTAATAGAGCTATATGTAGGTTTGAATGGTTCTTCACATGTGACCACCAATGTTGATGACAGCACCACACACTCAAAGCCATGCTTAGATGTTTTTCCTTATAGGATTGCTTGTCATACAGTTTCCATTAAAAATCAGCCTATGAGCCAAAAGCCACCCAAGGACCACCAATTTCATGATGCTATTTCAGCTACTGTAAGAACATTCCTTTTATTTTCAATTGGTGTGATTGGGGCCAACAATGTGGTAGAGTGAAGTAGACCTATAGGCTACACCTTCTGTTGGTTCAACAAATTCACACAAAATATCTAGAAGTGGGCCGACTAAATATAGCTTCAGTGAATCACAGAGAAAATGCAACCGTGCTTCAAAAGTCTACTTTCATCAAGAAACAAATTAGCATTTCTAGAAACACATTTTGACAATATTGCTTTTTTAGTCATGGATACGCAACAACTTCTCTCATCACAACGACAGCTGCGGTTTCAAGTGCACAGATCCTCTTTTTCTCTCTGCCAAAACCACTGAATGAAATCCCCAACTCATAATGAGTTAATAAAGAAAAACACCACTGAAACTGCACACTTCTTTTCTCCTACACAGGAAAGTCAAATCACTTACTCCAACAGAGAAATGTTACAAAATATCTTGACCACACATGGCCTGAACTGAAACATTTTACAGAAGTAGGGAGGAATATCATCACACCATTAACTGTGCAGTGTGATTAGCTTTTGCATGCATCAACAATTAAACAGAGCTCCCTTGTTGCTTCTGCTCTTTTTGCCTTGACAAAAGGCTAAGTTCCTTGTCCAATAGGTGAAATAAGTTAAGATTTAGAAAGTACCATTGTCACTGACTGTAAAATATGCCTAACACATGGGCAATCAAAAGAAAATGTGACAGACAGAAAAAGAAAACACTCATGAAAGAAATTGAGGAAATGGAAAAGAGCTTGAGCAATAATTGAGATGAGGGAGATAACAAGAGAGAAGAGACAAAAAAAAAAATTCCCCTCGTTTCTCAAGGTTTCATTAGAAACCTAAAGTCACTTAATAGAGTAGATTCCTGAGCTTGTCATTTGAGCAGGAAAATTTTCAGCCACATTAGTTTTTTGGCTATCATGAAAATGCACAGTTGGTATTTTCCTTTAGGCTGTGGGGACAGATTTGGCTGCTGGAGGCCACTGGTAGCTGTAGCCAGGCAATGTCTTCTACAAAAGGAGCCCATCACTGCATATTCATAAGATTTTACTGCCATAACAGTCAAACAAGGTTGCTATTAGAGGCTATCTGAGTAAACAGGAGCTATGAAAAGGACACAGATGAATTAATAGGGCCACATCACTGCAATATCAACATGCATTGCTGAGTAGTGAAAGCTTCACCTAAGGGGGAATCCTCAATCCTGAACGTGAGCTTGTCACCTGGAAGCAAATAGCCACAAATTTTATCCATAGGTCTCCTAATGGCCATTTTCACGCCTTACATATTGGGCTTGACGCTCAAGAGAAATGTAATATTAACGTTCAGGCAAATCCTGCTGATAAGCAGGTTTCCACCATCTCCCTCTCTAGAAACTGTGGCTACCCTCCCTCTGACTCCCACTGAGAACAGAGCCACAGCAAACCAAATGTCTCTCTCCCCCTCTCACCTCCCTGAAACCTTAATGAGAGACTGTGAAGAGGTCTGTCAGTGTGACAATAATTACAGAAACTGTACTATTCAGCAACTGCAAAAGACCCCCTTGGCCATTTGGGAAGACACACATGCTACACTCTTAAAAATCAGTCAGCTCTAACTGACCACATATCTTTAATTTAATGACAGTGAGATAACATACTCAAGTCATATTAATCTGGTAAATGTTTCAAGTTTTGTAAAAAGGTCACACAAACATAAGCCAACAATTATACAGCTTTATCGCCCATTGTGCTACTGATGCATGACATTTAGTCTGCCTTTGGTTGTGTAAGGTAGAAAACACATTGGGAGATAAACAGAGGGAGCAATTATCTAAAACCTCTCCCAAAAAACCGAAATGATTTCACTTGCACAGTACATGTGCCTACCCATTACTGGTTTCCTGAGGTAGGTCAAAGTACACACACTTTCCTACTAGTATGCAGTTGTTCGCTTCTCTATTTCAGTTAGAGCTAAAATTATTAGTTGATTGACAGAAAATAAAAGCCAAAACAGTTTTGGTAACTGATTATTTGATTTAGTCATTTATCAAGTAAAAAACACACCAGTCATTCCCTGGAGCCATCTTACCTCCTCTTGCTGTTTTATATCATCATAAACAGAATATCTTTGGGTTTGGTAATGTCGATCGGGCAAAATAAGATATATGAAGATGATCACCTTTTATAGACTAAATGATTACTAAATTAATTGTAAAATATAACTCACAGATAGATCAATAATGAAAACGCTCCCTAATGCCGATTCATCAACAAAAGGCCACATTAGTGTGCAAACAGGAGGTGATAACCTGACTACAATTACCATTTATGGCCTTTTAACACAAGTACAGGGATTCATAAGTTAATGATAGGGGATACCTACATCGTGTCTAACCAGTGCACAACACCCAGTAACTTAAACTTGAGCTTTAGTTACATTAAAATAAACACACACAAACACACACACATCAGAAAATACAAGAAGACAGTGAATGCAGTAAATTAGAAGATGCTCTTTGCGTTGTAAACCGTTTACTATAGAAGCCATTAAGGCGTTCTCTCCATTTTCAACCTCAGAAATAAAAGCGTTAACGTGGTGCACTGTTCAAAATGAAGTGTAGCCACATTAAAGGATGTGCAGCAGTTTTATTTGAGCTTTTCTCTTGTAACTTAAGCTTGACAGCGTGTCACGCTACCTAACTCGGCTAACATTAACCTGGCTAAGAAAATGGACAAAAATGCTTTTAACGGTTACAGATATCTCGCTTACAGCCGCATTTACGGTTAGCCAACTGAGTAACAGTATGTTGGCCATGTTGGCAAGGAGACAGACTGGTTTTGTCTTGGTTCACAGTTAGCTGTTAGCCGACGTGAGTTTTAACATTACTCGGTGAATTCAAGGATAGCAGGCGCTAGCCTGTAGCTCTCGTGAGAGACGTTAGTGCTGTAGCCTGGATCAGATAGCTTCACCGTCTGTGGCAGCTCAGATTCATACCCCGTTCAGTCATACCATGTCTTACCTGATTCCTGATGGCCACCTTTTCTTATTTCCTTTTGGAAATGTTTAATGTGTAGAGGCGTCACACAAACTGAGACTTAACGTACACAAATGATATCTAGACTCCTACCTAAGCAGCCAGTGATTTTTTCCACTCCAACAAGCTAGCCTAGCTGATGAGACGCTGTGCCCCGTTGGAATAGCATTTCTATATCAAAGCATGTCATTGCTCAGCAGCATAGCTAGGCTAGCTAGCAGCAGCAGCTACACAAGCTGTTCAGACTCCAGGTCCCTCCCGCTCGCAGTCGATTGGCTGTAGATGAATCGGCTCTCTTTTGATTGGATAGTGGCACCGTCAGTCAATCACACTGCAGCTGCTGATGTTTTGCATTCCCATAAGCATCCATCATGTTTTTCGCCTTGTGAATCTGAAGAGCGTACCAAAAGAAACGTGTATATGAAGAAAGAGATAAGAGAGATATGTATTATTATTTACTGTTCATTTTATACTTATGTATTACTTATTGATTTATTTGTCTCAGAATCAGCTGTCCAAAATCAAAGTTGCACTCGAAGCCTCTTAAGCACTGAGTGGGACTTCAGCAAAGGCCTCATCCTGTGTAATTTTTGTAAAACTGATATTTTTACATTATTTTACATCATATGTAACTTTATTCTTAATGGAAAGACATATAAAGAAAAGGTTTAACGTATAAACTTGATGCAAATCAGATAAAAAACACATGAGAATTTAAGTCAAAAAAGAATTCCCAAATTTCACCTCCTTGGCCTTATTCAGCTGTCAAATCATACTGAAATTGTGACGAAGTGACTCTATATATAGAATACATGAAAGATCTGTTAATCTGGTGTTCATGAGCATTTCTATCTGTCATCTGCACCATGCAAAACACACACACACACACACACACACACACACACGAATGTGCATACAATAACTCATCATCAAATTCCATTCAAGCGCCTCCTGGGAAATGATGGTACTTCTAATAAACATGTCAGTGGTGAAGAGAGTTGCAGAGTAGTTTGGATGGTTGTGTGACTCTCTGCAGGATGCAGTCTGTTTCCTGCTCAAACAGATGGGCCTATACATGTATTCTGCTTTCTGCACCCAAAACCCCATCGCAAAGCAAATTAATACAACATGTACAGTGGGAGGTAAATCTACTTTATCTCAGTTTATTCACCTTTTTAGTTTGACAAATAAACTTCAGCTACTGACCAAAATGTTTTAAAAGAAAACGTGACATAACAGACAGACTGTATTTTTAAAGTAAACACCAATTTGACATTATTATTGGTTTATGATGGTGATTGTTCACCTTTTGGTTGTAAATGAATGGAGCTTGTATTTTACAGACCATTTTAATTTACTGTGACATCAGTGATAGTAGATTTTCGTTACACAGGATAATTTGATTTCAGAAACACCTGTCACATGTGGTTATAACCACAAGACTGATTACTTCCTGTTTCCGTGTAAATATGTTACATATTCAACACTGTGTCATAAATGTATAATAGTTCATCAGATGCTATGCTGTGAGTAGAAAAATCAGCCATAACGCTGTCAAATAACTAGGCTGTTTGGATGAAGTGTGTTATATCATGTGTTACAATTGTTTTGATGAAAAAAGATATACTCAGCTGAAAACTGCTAAGCACTTGATATAGCAATAATTACCTTCATTATTTACTGTGAGAAAGTGTTACTTCTGCTAATTCCGCTGTCGGAGTGATGATGACATGGTTTGTGAATGCCACCTGCTGGGCTGTTAGTGAAACATACATGCTGTGTCAGTTTTGAACATGCAACATGTCCTCTTCCATCCACTCTGCAACATCATTATGTCCTTATTTCATTCCATCACTGTTGCTTTGCCCCCTGGGGAATCACAGAAAGACTGACTGCATCGGCCACAGAGAAAGGAACTGTCCACCACAGAAAAAGCAGATGGTCTCATGTTGTTAAGGGGGACTTTAATTCAATACAGCGCACCTGCCTCTGGGCATTAGTTTGATACACGTCTGAAAGTAAACAGAAGCAGTGTCCCGGGATGTAATCACTAGCGTTAAGTATAAACCAGCTGCTGGGGCCAGAACATAATGAAAGGAGTTTGTGCACATAATGTTGATGGGAGAAAATAGTATATGTAATAATACAGATTGCTTCTTTTCCTGTGCACAAAATCATTTTTGATCCCCCAGAGACTTGAAGGGTGTACTTGTAAATTGAATAAGAACCATATAACTTACAATGTATTTGGCAGGCCTCTATATCCTGCCATGTTCATGGAAAAACATGGAGAATATAGAGGCAAGCAACAGATCTTGGCAAGAAACAGATTAAGGCTTAGAAAATCAATACCAGTTATTTTAAGAAAGGTGGGTGGTATTTGTTTTTATTCTTTCATTCCTTGTATGTAATATGAATGATTTCTGGGCTGACATTTACACATTGTGACAAGTGTGGCAGTGTGACAAGAGAGGGATACGACACACCTTGCTGATGTCATGATTACGAAAGATGCATATCATTAAACTGATCTTCTTACACTGCCACTCACAAGACCAGATTCAAATCTTGGAGCGAAATAAATCACAAAAGTTAAACGGACTCTTGTTTTTTTTAGGGGTTTTTTTTGCTGACATTTTGGTCTGTAATACAATTTGACATTAAAGCAGTATTATCATGGGGAAACAGTCACCATATTACGTTTGTCTTTTATTTCACACACAAATATTGAGACATTAGTTACACAACTGGCACTCTTCGAACAACACAACAATACAAAATCATCAGACATTCTTTAAATTGCACAACCAAGCAACATTGTAAACAAATAGACTGACATTTTCTAAACTCATTTGATGGGTGAGTCTAGGATCTCTTGATAATCCTGCCGAATGGCCCTGCTCACCCTGTACAGCTTGACTCCTGTTAGGGTGAACACACTGATCATGATGACCAGGCCCCCAATGACGTCGTAGACGGACGGGATCATCCTCAGAACAATGAGCTGGAGGAACATGGCAACCACGATCTCTAGGTGCTGCACGGTGCTAACTAAGGCTGGATGGAATTTGTTTAGAGCATAGTATACTCCGAGGAATGCCACGGTGGAGCAGATACAGATCCCAATTAAATAGCCCCAGGTCTCCCCATCTAGAGGAATGATGGGCTCCTGCATGATAAACATGGTGGAGGCACCCCACACTGTGCCCGTCCAGCCGAAGGTAAAGAGCGCCGTCCACATGCTGACGCGCTCCTTAATGGCTCTGTAGACGATCATGGAGAGGGCAGCTGTCAAACCGGCCGTCACTGTCATTGTGTAGCCAAAGGCCTCCTTCCAAAAGCCCAGCCTGGACTTCTCCTCGTCTGCTACGTTTGGCACCATGACCAGGCACAGACCAAACACGCTTCCCACCACTGTGACCACATCTGTGTAGCCCAGCCTCTCATCCAGGAGCAGGAAGGCCAGTATTGCACTGAAGACTGTGGTAGAGGCACGCCACATGATGGTGCCATTACTGGGTGGTACTATAGCAAAAGAGGTGTAGGCGCAGGTGATAGAGATTACGTTGCAGACGCCGTAGAAGAAGAGACGCAGACGGTAGCCCTTAGGGCCAAAGGGGGCCTCGTGGTAGTAGAAGACTACCAGGATGGACAGCACTTGGATCACAGAGCGAATAAAGAGCAGCTCGAGGGAGGGCACCTTAGAGCGGTCGGCTGCTAAACGGGTAATCAGTGCCACACAACCGTGAGCCACCGCGGCCCCAAACAAGGCCATCCAGGTCACCCTGGAGGCCAACACATTTGCCTCGCCAAAGCTAGCCAGCTGGCCTCCGACCCCTTTGTCTCTTTGCACGCCTGGCTGCTTAGGCTGGGTCTCCATGGTTCCAAAGAAAGTCCTGCCACCTTTGCTGTCCGACACCAGTCTCTTCTCCGTATTAGCTTCTGCGAAGGCGCCAAATTCCTCAAAAGAGGGTGCATCATCATACCCTTCATCGCCAGGCTGGGGAAAGTGAGTGGCATATTTCACTGTCACTGTATTTGGGTGAATTTTAACCCGCTTTTTTGATCCGTACTGGAGAGAAGACGAAGATACATCCATGTTTCTTTCGGAGCAGGTAGGAGTACTCTGAAAAATGAAGTGAAAATCATTACAGCATAGTCGAGCTAAAACAACATTCAAATATTCTTTTTTCCTAGTTAGTCTAAATAGACTCGCATTTTGCATAAGTGATCACTTGTTTTCTCAGATTCCACCCTCCACACATACACACACACACACACACACATAAAATCCACACGTGCTGCCACACGCACACACATGCATGCACACAGACAAAGCAGTCTTATCACCCCTATCTCACCCCTTGTTGCTCCTCCCTATCTCCTGTTGAGTTTCTTCTATATATATATATATCCCATGCAAGCTCATATAAGCCGGGCAGCAAACATTCTGAGGCTGATGCAGTCTGATGGGGATGAAATTACATAACAGGAGACCACAGAGGGGAAGATACATGAATGTGGGCCACGTAAGAGATGAATGGAGTTGCACACCATAAATTGGAAAACCCCGGAAAAAAGGACTGTTGAAAGGGTTAAATGGTGCTGAATAGTTTGAGTGGTTTCTTCAGCCATGAGATATTTCTGTGGCTTCCACTAAAAAGCAATGGGATTTGTCTTAAACTTGAAATGACAGAATGTCCTTAAAACTGAGTATATATATATATATATATATATATATAAAACTGAAACATCTTTGAAAATAATAACATCACCATTAGTATTATGAAATATTTTCAAGATTATTTCTACAATCATTCATTTTGTCAATCCCATAGGACATACAGTGACACGAATCAAAACCACAAGGGGGCAGATAAATACTCTGATTCCCCTTTTCTCCTCTTGCATGGGGTTGCTCCTCGCTTTTGAAATATAAGGCACATTAATATAACTAGATCCATCATAATAACCGACTATGAACAATATTGGTGTCAAAGAAAAGCGTTAAGAAAATCTTGCATGCACTTGAGGCTGAAAAGCAATCTTTCAGCCGATTTAACAACGGCTTATTATTTTTGGTGACAAAAATAGAAAAAAATGACTATTTTCAGGGATGCACGAAAGATTTGAGCCAGAAAATGAAAAATAAAACTAACAGCTTTTCCTTTAGATAATCGTTTATTGTGCATTGAAAATCTTGTAAAACTGGTATTAAACCTGGAATTTTTTTTTAGGACGGTCCTATATGGTGCTATATTGCATTGTAGTAGCCTATATTAATTGAGTGCTATAATATCATAAAATATCTTACCTTTTTGCTCTTTAAAAAGTTCCTATTGATGCATAAACCCGGGTTTGTGTCATAAGTGAAGATCTCGCTTGATTTCTTGATCCTTACATTTGGTCAACTGCAAGTGCCATTTCCCCATCTTCCCCCTCGCATGGAGCGCCTCTCGCCTCTTCAAGATGCGTGCTGCTTAGTTGTTCTCCAGGCTGTCGATGAATTGCTGCCTCTGCTTCTGCTTCTGCAGCTGATGAAGCTGAAGCAGCGGCTGCTGCTGAGGCTGCCGCTGCTGCTGCTGCTGATGATGATGATGAAGAAGAAGAAGATGATGATGATGAAGAAGCTGAAGCGCGCGGGGGGGGGGGGGGGGGGGGGGGGGGGCGAAGCAATTGTCACTGTCACAGCCACTGGTTTCTCCTCCTGCTCCTCCTCCTCAAGACTGCTTCGTACCCCACCTAGACCCCGCTCATATTCGTCATCTCTCAGAAGGGGAAAGGGATGTGCGTCGGTCGGTCAGTCATCATCACCATAATCATCATCATCATCATCACTGTGTTCATGAGATTACAACCCTTCCACGTTAAAAGGAAGATTTGATTTTCCTGTCTGAATTAATTATGGTGAAATGAAGGAAGTAGAAGATTGCAATCATGTTCAACATGCACTTCATATGTCAAATAAGTTGTGCTTAAATGGTGGGGTTTAACCCTGCTACATTTCTGATAGGCATGCTTGCACCACATAGCTACTAATAGATACTGGATGAACTTGACTATTTCTTTAATTTGGTGTCACAGCTTGAAGTGATAGAGATTCCCATAATCCTCTGTGGAATCCTTTCATTTGCACCAAGAAGACTCTCATGAGAGCTGTTCCAGACACTCTCTTTTCCAAGAACAACACATTTCTGTCTTTCTTTAAATCACATTTACACCCCAAATACGATGATCTATTTTGCATAAAGGAGGTCAAATGTAACAGTGAGAGTACGAATGTAAAACAACTTCAAACAGAAGTAAAAAAAAAAAAAAAAAAAAAAAAAAAAAAAAGGTGGGTGGCATATGCTGAGTGCAGGCTGGTGAAAGGCAGACATAAATTTATAGCCACTTCAACATGGGGGAAGTTGAAAGCACTAAAATTAGATTGTTCAGTTTACCCCCCAGGCAATGCAACAGGAACCTCAGTTGGTAATATATAGATCATACTGCCACTAGCTGCCACCGCCTCTGTAACATGACTGTGATTTTAATTGGTACATAACACCACGCACGGTGATATGTGATTGTGTGGCAATTAACTTTGTGTCAGCATTTACATTTAGCTATTAACAGTCAACATAAATCTGACAGCAGGGACTAAACTGTAAGGCATATAATTGACCAATTAGGTGTGCAAAAATTATAGTAGTATAAGACTATTTTATTATCTCCTGTACAAATGAATATGGAAGAAGATAATTAAGAGATAATTGACCTTTAGCAGCCTATAAGCAAAATAATGCAGTGTTGAGTGTGCTTGAATGAAGAATTGTCAATTATATAAATAAAGTGAATGTTTGAGTACATTTGACTATGATGAAGGATGGATATTTTAGAATTATTGGCATATAATTAACTACCTGACCTTATCATACTTAAGTTTCATGCAGTTATAGTTACAGTAACATATATCCATATTTACCATCCTGACATTATGTGTTGCTGTGACTGAGATATTGCAGAATGAATCCAAAGTTCTTCCTTTAAAAGAACAGTGCAACATTTTGGGAAATGCTCTTATTCGCAGTCTCGCTGAGAGTTCAGTGGTAAGATCGATACCACTCTCATGGCTGGCATTAAATTTGAAGCAACAGCCAGGAGGCAATTAGCTTTAGCTTAGCATAAAGACTGGAAGAAGGATTAAACAGCTAGCCTGGCTCTGTCGAAATGATAAGAAAATCCACCTACGAGCTAACAAGGCTATAGGGCTCACTAATGCATATATTTTGAACCTTTGCACAGAGAGAAGCTATCTGGTTTCCCTGCTTCCAACCTTTATGCTAAACCTAGCTAACTTAATCGCTCGTAGCTGTAATGCAGGCATGAGATTGGTCTTGACTTTCTGACCTAACACTTGGAAATATGTGTATTTTGGAAAATCTTTGAACACTTCCTTTAAAGTTGTTTTGTGCTTCACTATTCCTTTCTTTAATTTTAGCTGGTTGTATGTTATTTTATTTGTATTTTATTTTAGCTAGGGAATTTTTCACATGACTTTCAAAATTGATTACTGGGGTGTGTATGAAGCTGTAACTGTTTAAGCGTGCACTGTCTGTGCCACAGGAATAAGCTGAGGGATAAAAACGCTGTAAACTCCAGGCTGCCTCACAGCTCACTGAGCCACAATAAAAAATGGGGAGCAATAGGACAGCGTCTCATCTTACTATACAGGGCGCATAATTGCGGCATAAGAAATTCATGGAGGGTTTTTTTATGATTTCCTTGAAGAAAAATTCAGACTGATGAAGAGAAGTTCAAGGAAGTGAAATGCTAGAGGTTTTTCATAATCTCACTTAACAGGGGAATGAATCTGCTCTATTAAATATCTCACGGGAGATGACAACACGTTAAGTTTCCATAATCCTGACTACACTCGTTTCATGTCAGGCAGCTTTAGCAGAGCCTCCACTGGCAGATGCTAGCGTATTGGTTGGAGCTATTGTATGGTCAGCGGAGACTTCTTATATAAGTAGCTTGTACCTCATGTTGTCTGACTTGAGAGCATATTGTAAATCACCATGATTCATTTAAATCTATGTGTGAACAAGGACAATTTAACTTGACTTGAATAATAATCAAGTTTGTTATTATGTCCTGTAATGCAGCAGGTTTCAGCAATAACATCATTGCATCACAACAGACACAACAGATTTCAAGACATGCATGACATGCACGCACGCACGCACGCACGCACGCACGCACACACACACACACACACAGACAAACACAAACACACACTTTTTCTGTGAGTAATCACACTGACAAAGTTGTACACTGATTGACAAAAGCAACGCCAATAAATCAATTTCACCTGGGAAATGAAGGTTGAGCGCAATGGGTTAACTAATTAATTCTGTTTCAGAGCCAGCAATGTTTTAAAACAGAAATTACAAAGGGCATCAGGCTAATTTAATTTTGTACAGTAGCTCATACTTTGCACCTTTGCTTGGTTGACATTTCAAGTGTTTTCCCTTCTGTATCTGCAAGCTCTTTCTTTCACATATTTCAGCGGCTAAACCTTTGCAGCCTATAGTGACTCAGAGGATCACAAGCTGTAATTTCTTACCCGGCTCTGAAACCATTACCTCATATGCCCTTCACTCTTTTCTTTATTTTCTTGTTTCTTGTTTTCTCCTGAAAATGAAATTCTGTGTTAACCCTGCTGGCTTTCTGATGAGCAAATCTGAGAAAATATGAAATCCTTGAGGTGTGTTTTGTAATGATCACCTTTGTTTTTTTTTCCTCTACTTGTCTGGCCCCTCTAAAAAGCTGTCACGATGGACATGCGGCTCATTTATCTTCTGTCTGGGGGCTTAGGCCACCTGTCATTGATTAAGCACTTATATTTCCTTTTTATTTGGCTGGAGAGCAGAAAACAACAAACTTCCATCCCTTCTATTGGTAGACTGACTGACAGGCTTACACAGCAATTTAAGGATTTGGAGAAGAAGGTAAGACCAGGCTTGTCACTGACATAGAGCAAATAAGGTGGAATAAATGGAAGATGGTGCCTTAAATAGGCAATTCGTGTGTGGGTGGGGAGATAATACATAGGGATTCTTGTTTTCTTCACCTTTAGGGCTTAGAGTACCACAGTGAATATGATCAAGCATGCCTGACATTTTTCTTTTTAACCAGCAAGACCAGTGTGCATGTACATGCATAATTTAACTTTTGATATATTACCACATTGTAGTTTATCTATTGTTTAAAAGTATGTTTTTCACTTTTCATGCTGTTGTAAATTCCTATGGACAGACACTGAATGAATCAAAGATTATTCAGGGAAAGCTGAAGGCTGTTAGATTTGAATTTTATCTGAGAGAACACACACTCACTGTTTAGCCAGCTGTCAAAGACCAAGCCGAACTGTTTCCAGCATGATGCTACCTGCAGCCATCGCTCTGACACTAGCTCATCCCCACTGGCAAGCTGTTGGCACTTTGTTTTCTGTGTATTTGCTGAACCCAAAATCAAATAGTGCCTCATATTTTCATGAATTCATAAAATGGGCCAACTCTGAAGTTTGTTCTATATCTAGACTTTTTAATAATGCATGAGCAGCAGAGGATTCCTACTTTCCTAAAGGGGGGCTTCCTCTCTTGTTTTTGATATTCTCTCTTGTTTTGACCTAAAAAGCAAACGAGGATACAAAATAATTGTTTGCCTCTATCATTTCGAAAGGTGTAAAAATGTCTCTGGTCACAGAGACATATGCAGTCATAGATCAGACAATATGATGCATATCATAACTAAGTTTCCTTTTAGTTTTACTGTTATATAGACACTGACTTTTTTAACAAGAGAAAGCATATACAGCCATGCTAACAGCTCTGTGAGGCTATATGTCAGCATGCTAATATGCTCACAATGACAATACTAACATGTTGATGGTTAAGAGGTATAATGTTTACAACACAAAGCACAGGTTGGCTATTCAGTCATAAACCATCCAGTAGTTGATGTATTTCAGTCTGCCTGGATGCTACAAAACAAATACAAGTATTACTTCACCAAGTGACTCTAAAATTGTTGATGAGCCATTAATAAATGTTTTCAAAAGCTAGCCCACTATACACTATGAACTGAGACATCCAAAAGCCTCAATCACCTGCAGTATTAGAGCCAGATAACCCCTACATTCAAATAACACTAAATAGAATATCGATCGAATATTGGTATCGGTTGGAATATTGAACAAAATGAACATTAGTTACGGTAACACAAAGATTCAAAGTACGACTTAAAATAAACTCTCATCTCACATAAGTATCACCTCATCTAGAGACCAAACACACACAAGTGGAAAACAGCACATGGAGGAGTTAATTGACCATATGGCTCATCCATTTGAATCTGGCAAAACAATGATGAGGGAGAGCATAGTGTACCTTTGAAGATTATTGCTCTAATTTCTGCTAAATCAATGAGCCTTTGTGTAATCAGAGTGCACTAAAATCAATACTGTACTTATAAATGAAATATAATTATCATGCTCACATATCTGAGCAACAAAATCAGCCAGACTGTAGCAAGC